TCAGCCATATATATATATATATATATATATGAGAAATTTGTAAGGGATGCCAAAATATTTATGTAAAAGACCCAAAAAGAAAGAAAAAAATGGCAAAATCAATTGAAATAATCAACAATATTAGTAACACTATAGATTTCTACTCTTCCTCTCAACTAGAGAATATTGGATTGCAAAATTTGAATTGTAAGATTAATATATTTTCATGATCAAGAGATGGATGTTGCTTGTTATTGAGGGATGGTGTTAGTCAGGAGTTTCCATCATAGATGATGAGGTGATAATGGTCGAGTCATTATAGTTGGGCGGTGTCAAATGAGATACGGCAACGAGCAATTTGAATCAGGTAACTGGATCACAATGTTGAACCAAAAAATTTCTCAGATCCAAAAGCTTTAAATAATTTTAGGTATAGGTCTAGGCTCACTTTCACCTGAAAAATGAAGTCTATTTAAAAATTATTTTAACCAAACCTCTCAAATTCGCTATACTAGTAGTGCTTGATTTAGAATCATTTGGACTCAATTTTTACTTCAATGGGTTCATCTTACTTAAAAATTATTTCTGCCATGAAGCTTTCAAGAATCGAAGTTGGAAACATTCAAAATTAATTTTTAAATTTTAATTTAGATGTTATGTCAACATTTAAGTTTAATATGGTGAATTTTCTTAAGACACGTCAACAAGAAAAATCTATTTATTTTTTAATCCGATTATAATACAAATCTAGATAAGTTTTGCAACAAAGTCGAATTTTCAAAAATATATAAACGCCGTCCTCTTCGAAGAAATCACAAGTGCAATATTCGGATTTATTTTGAGACATTTTTCTGATTACTAGCATTATTAATTAAAATTGCAACTCAGACATACAAAAACACCAAACCATAACTTTCTTTTTATGGTTTCACTGCCAAACTATAAACTGGTCTTAATGAGTAGTGCAGTAAGCTCGTGCCTTGACAATTAAAAATTACTCCTCAGTTTTAATTATCAAATTTTATGCTTTAAGAGATCTGTTAATGAAGTTGAATTCTGACCTAAAGAACGATGCTTTATGAAAATATGAAACGCAGAATTTCTAATTATTCATGGGCTTTAAAAAATGAGACATCAAAAGATTGCAAGATTTATGTTTGAATTAAATCAAACTAACCAAAGTTATAGGATTCTTATGATGCACAGGAACCTCGCACACCAAAACTCTAAGTGCACCAAAAGAATGTGCCTGCGGAAATCTCAAGATCTGACCGCACAGAAGAGAAAATGTGCATTAGAGGGAAGACCAACCGACAGACGACTCGGACACCCTCAGATCCCATAGTTATAATGGAGACAACGAGAAGTCTCCTCAAATACTATCAAGAGCTAACAAGACACGTCTTAGCAATCCCCCAGGATCCCTTATTCTAAGGGTAGGTTATCTGTCACATTAATGTAATTCACTCTCTATGATAGCCTAGCTTCGCTCTACTGATGGGAGCTTCTCAATGGAGATTGAGGGTCAATGATCGGATTAGGTTAATCGATCGACAAGAGTTAGCTTATCAGACTATTCCTACCGGCCCCGGACCGACCAGTAGCTTCCACATCCTAACCGGCCAATAACATCCACAAAATCTAGCCTACTAGTAATACAGACTAAAATTTTTTTAACCCCCACTAATTCAATGTCTTAAATGTAACTTAACATATTGAACCCCTGTCTCTAAAAATAGAGGGCATTCCGTACATCTCTCCCTCCCTCCCTCTCTGGTCTTACAATTTATTCCTTGGGTGTAATTCACGGCTATATCAAAATTCAACATTCTAAAAGTTGTGAGTGTAGATCAAGCCAACAATAAGAAAAGTATCACAAGGAGAATAAATCCAACACAGAGACACCGCCAACATGGAATGCAATAGGGAGTTTGTGCATCAACAAATACAAGAGCTGAAGGACCATATGATAAGTTAGATAATGGAGCCCATCCAAAAAATATTAGCTCAAGGCAGAAAGTAGAATCCTCAAGAAGAATGGCAGACGCCCAACAACCGGAGGGTAACATAGACAACGAAAAGGCAAAGAGGTTCCAGTACCATGATAGTGTCAGATCGGCACTTCTCGAGAGTCATTAGTTCAAGTAAACTAAAGCATGTCGATAGGCCAACAATTCATTCTCTTCACATATTTCTAAAGCTAGCCCCCAGAGAGATTCAAAATACCTGCACTTAAATCTTACAAGGGTTGGACTGATCCGATCAGCCGCATAGCATCCTTCGAGACCACCATCTGCCTTCTAAAGATTACTCACGCACTAAAGTGTCGCCTACTCTTCACCAAGTTGAGGGAGTCAGCCCTCAGGCAGATCAATGGACTACTGACGAGAGTAATTACCTCCTTCGCCAATTTTAAAAGAATGTTCATAACGCAGATAAGAGTTCACAAGGTTCCTTGCAGATCAAGGAGGGGCAAAACGAGAGCCTCCGTCTTTTCTCACTCAATTCCAAAAGGAAATCCTAGATGTGTGGGATCTAGAACCTGTAGTAGCACAGACCGCTCTAGCTCAAGTGCTGAAAGAGGGACCTTTTCGCTAACTGGGTCTTCAGAGGCCCAAATTGTTGGAGCTAACCAACAATCACATATTTGTAGAAGAATAAAATTCCACCCCTACTTCCACCATAGTGGAGTAAGCCACCTTCATCTAAAGAAGAGAGCCTTAGAAACGACAGATGGAGACCGAGGGAATATCCGCTTACTTCTTTTCGGACGCGATATGAAGACAACAAGTCACCCTGAGATAACAGGGAGCAAACAAAAATTATAATTGATGGAGTCAAGCTCATCACCTAACGAACGATTGGTTCATCACAACGAGGAAACATTCACAAAAATTTGAAGGAAACTCCGCAGAGAGTCATGACGGTCGAACAAGTTAAGGCCATCCAAAACAACGAGTATTTTAAAAAGGCGTCGTCGATGAGCGCTAGGGCTTTTCTTCGGAACACCAAGAGGTATTGTGCTTATCATGAATGGAGGATGTTAGGACCTCTGAAGCCTAGTTATAGAGTTGATCAGAGATAAGAAACTCAAAAAGGTATGAAGTGTGGCCACTTCCTCGCGGAGGGTGGTCATCCCAGCATAGAGGGTAACCATCTCAACTTCCAGTCGCTCCACCTTCTCAACTCGGACCAACAGCCACGCATCTCTTCGCCCTATGAGAATCCTATTGCTCGAGCAAAAGTTTTCCACCTTCTACAGACAGTGCCCAAACACTTTGGGAGATATCTGGCCTCCATCGGTTGCCTCTCCCTGGGCAACCTAACGATTCACCCCCTCTTCCTCCCCTGGAAGCTAGTCGCCTTAGGTAGCCTCCCTGGTCCACAGCAGTTGAGTCTGTGGTCAGATCAACACCAACTTCCGCCGAAAGAGAATCAATGATCGTGCTCATATGAGCTGAACCAAAAAGAAATATAAATAAAATAAGCATAAGTAAATAATAAAAATCAAACAAAATTGAAATTTCTCATGTCAAGGATTCTATCCCACTCAAATGTCCTAACCAACACATCGCCCTAACCAGCCTTTTGTTGCCCCTTGATCAGTTGTAAGGCGTCAGTAGCTTCTTATGCCCCAAACAACACCACAATGTCAGCAGCTTCCTGCACAGTCTAATCGACCGACACAGTTTAGGTCTCTGTCGGCAGCACTGACAGATCGATAGGCTTTTCGCCAAGACAGTCTCCTTCCACTAAAAATTCTTCCAATTGACGGCCGCGGAGGGAGCTGACGATCCAACTTGATCCTCAAGATCGTGCTTCTTCCTGTTCTTCACAAAAATTCTCCTTTCTCTCTTCCCACCGTCTAGGAGGGGGCATCCCATTCATTTTTCCAAAGGCCTTGCCATAAGGATTGGTCGTCGGAGCTAACTCTTCCACCATGGTGGCACTAAGAACTCAAGCGAGGAAAGAAGATTGAGAAAACATAAGGAGGATAGCCATTCATGACATATTTATAGAAATTAAGAGAGAGAAAGTCGAGAAAACTTAATTTGTTAATCATTGATTAGTCAAAATAAGATTTACTTTGTCTTAAATTCCTTGCTTTTATCGCAACATGACTTTTCAGAAACAAAAGAATCAGGAAACTAAATATGTACATAAAAATATTCCAGCACAAATCCTGAGGAGATCTAACGATCTAAAAGAAAAAAAGATACATTAGAGGGAGGACCCACCGACAGAAGGCCTAGAGACCCAAACATCCAACCAGATGAATTACACTTAAAGCTGACTATTGTAAAGGCGATCGGATAATTTGAGTCGAGCTACTAATCCAGACACAATACAAGGTCATCCAAGCTAGCATCACAATGAAGCGAACCCAAGGTAAGGGCTAATCCCTCGTATCCCATAGTTATATCGGAGACAACAAGCAGTCTCCCAAAATATGATTAAGAGATGATAAGACAAGTCTTAGCCATCCCCTGGGATTTCATTCGCTTAAGAACAAGCTACTTGTCAGATTATAGTGATTCATCTTCTACCCAATAACCTAGCTTCGCTCTATCAATAGACTTTTCTCGATGGACATCGAGGGTCGATGGCCAGATTAGGCTAACTGATTGGCAAAACTTAGCTAATCAGACAATTCTTATCGACCCCCAACCAATAGAAGGTCACTAGACTCGTAGCTTCCACGAGCTAGTTGGCCGGCATAAATCAAATTGCTTAGTCATCCAACTGAATATCAATCGAGGCCACGCCGACCGGCCCAGGGCAGCCAGATCTTGAGCCCACATGAGTAGAATCTCTAAAATATAATCCCAACTAAAGCAAGGGCATAAATATAACTTCTAATACTAAGACCTCTTACTTTATAAATAGCGGATCATTCTACGAATAAAGGGATACCCTTTCCGTCTTACGCGTTATTCCTTGGTTGTCATTCATGGACAGATCAGGATTCAACACTAAGCATGTACAAAAAGATAAGAGATAAAGAAAGATGATTTAAAGGAAAGAGAATCCATACATTTCTGTCATGGAGATACAAAGCTATGCGTAAATTTCTCCAATTGAGATCTAAGCAAGTTGGTAAATGAGAATCCAATTTTCTCTGTAGAGTACAACTTCTGTGGTTTCAGCTCAGTCTTCACTTGGAAGAGCAGTGGATCCAGTTCTCTCCTAAGTGTATCAACAGTCTCCATGTCTACTTCATTACCAGAGATGTCCTTAACATAAAACACATTGCTAGTTTTCTCCCCATGGGCTTCGATGTCTGCTCGAGCAACAGTAAGCCCGTGCTCTCGAAAAGTTCTTGTGACATAAGGAAGTAATCCCACACTGTTTTGAGCACAAAGCTCCAGTCGGAGTCCCTAAAGACAATATGGATCAATGAAATTGGAGAGAAGATGAGCATAAGTTGTCAACCGAATGATTCAATAGGTGCTCACCTCACATTCTCGACGATTAACTGCGGCTTCCAGGCATTTTGAAACTACCTGTCTCTCTTCGTCTGTGTCTTCGATGTAGCCATCTTCATGTCTAATGTAATATTCCTGCATTGACAAGTACTTATTGAAATCAGAACATAATGCTCATTACTTGGATCACGTTTCTGCTTAAATAGTTTAGTTACATAAAGTTATTCCGCAAAAGATTTGATATTATAGAGGTGAGCATATATTGCAAAGGTTGTGATTTTAAGAGCTAGCATTTTGCAGCTGATGCAATGATCTATTTTTATGGATGCAATAAAGCATAAACAAAGCAGTTTACATTCCCTTTACAAATAATTCAGTGCAAGCCATTTCCTTCTCTTTTTTCTATTTGAAGTCCAAGTTTTTTTTTTCTTTCTAAAAGTATAGCACTTTCCCGAAATTTTCTTACCTAAATACCACTTCAGATTTCCTTATTGCTTCAGGCAGCATGCAACATATCAACCTTAAAGTGGTACAAACTATACTAACAATTTAAAAAAAGACATCAACTGAAAGCCTGGAGGAATGGTTACTTACCTCCATTGTTACAGGAAAACAAAGGCCTATCGTGAGAACAGTAAGCTAACTATTTCACCCAAACTTAGTCAAAACAACATTTTAATCTAAAGTAGAAGTGGGATTCAAGTACAAACCTGAAAGGCAAAGTGATCATCGGAAGTGATTGAAGCATGGAAGATTATGTAGTTCATGTCGGTGAGCGTGCACACAGTGTCAAACATGAGCTTTGGTCTATCAATGCACTCAATGTTAGCAATCAAATATCCTTTCTCAGTGCACCGATCAATAGTCACCTTTTTCTCCTTTCGTCTTCTCATTGATGAGACTAAAGTGTTTGAACAACAATGTGGTGGCCCATCAAAATCTCGGTTAGCCAACATAAGCTGGTGGAGACGACGCTCCGTTTGACACATCGAGCGAATGGACTCTGTGAAACACGTTTTAATGAAAACATGATCGTTATCATCAGCTGAGTTTGCTTGCAGGACGATAGAGAGATGGTCTTTAATGGTGGACAGTCGATTGGGATCATCAATATAGGATGAAGTCGATTGATCAGAGACATAGGCCACACAGGCAAGGCAATCATTGTGACTCCATGCATGAGCTTCTATGACATTACAATTTTCTTCAGCGAGAACAGCTAATATCTCTGAGAAAAGTCCAGGCCGATTGATCCCAATAATCTCAATGACTGTGCACTTGTGGCAGAATTCAGACTTTGCAGTGGTTTCATAAGAGTTCATAACATGATCTTGTGGATTTTTAAGCCCTCCCCTTTGATAAATGGCCTTTAACAAAGGTTAATTTGTCAAATTCTAAGTACTTTAGTTGTCCGGTGGTTTATAACATTAATCAATTGGAGAATCATAGAATTAATTGTCCGGTGATATTATTTTTCAGTCAATTCAGAATTCTAATTAATAAGGCTATCTGACCTGTTGAATGTAGTTAATGACTCTGTTATCTCGGATCTTGTTGCCGAGTTTGTCTTTCACATGAATAACTACAACAAAAAATCAGATAATATCAGCTAACATAAGTTTTCAAAACAATGATGCTATCTGTTATGAATAGATTGAGCTAGCTATGCAGCATTCAAAAATTATAGATTTATGGGCATTTAAATCTGGGTAACGTGTAAAACTTTGGAAACCGTGCCGATCAAAAACAGATTGTTACTAAAAAATTTTACATGCTTTACGTCGAATATATAGAAAAAAAGTGGAATGAACAAAGTTAGATTTAACAGCATAATAAATATAAATTCTGATTTATTAATATGTTGCGGTAATTCTGATCCATAGGCTTTCACTAGTCAAGATATAGAATATAAATTTTCTGGAGCCTGCACATAATATTTACTTCAAAATAGAATTTTCATTTTCTCTCAGTGGAAAGAAACTCTATCAATATCCTTCTCCATTCATTTATGCATTTAAGAAAAATAAGTTTCAGAACAGGAACAAATCAGCTAACAATAAAATCATATACTTCTTAAAATGTAAACAACAATAAACAAGATTATGCAATCTACGCAGCATCAGTACTAGAGAAAATCGTACCATCCATGAACCAACCAGCATCAGAAAAAATATAGCTCTTTGAAATGAGCAGATCCATGTCAATCAAAACCTGTAGAACTTCGAGCAAGGGACCTTGTTTTTCTAGGCTATCCACCTAAGGCGTAATAAACTATCAGCACAAGAGTATCATTAATATTATACTAATGAATGCTAAGAAAGACAAATTTATACCTTGACAACAGTGCAGTTTTTACAGTCTTCGTTATCCACATTAACCCTGCAATTGAAATGGATTACCATATCAATGTTGGATGCTTGTGTTAAAAAAAACTTACAGCAATTAATTTGCAGAAAGATGAGAATAGATTACACTTGAAAAAAAGACTAACCTTGGACCATATATCCTTTCATTAAGGTTCTCAAAATCAGGATCGAAGTATGGGTAACAGACATCCATCATGCTGAAATTTTGATTCAATGAAAAGTTGTTAAGAACCCACAATAAACCATTAAGTCCGTCTAAATACATGATACACTTTAAATGATAACTTGTTTTTGAGAAAAAATGAGCAATATTTAACGGTCATCTCCACGAGAAATGTGTTAATAAAGTATACTATTTAGAATGAATTAAGAATATAAAGCTAGACTACATTGCTACTCAATATGATTTTCAAGAAAAACTAAATCAAAATGAAGCTAATGAAGCTAATTTTCTAACTTGAGAGACCCAATTTCAGCCAAATATGATGATAATGAAAAAATCAATCAAATATTCTAACTGGAGAGACCCAATTTCAGCCAAATAGAGGCAAACAAACATTTTATGCTGAATGCTCATAGTCTTTCCTCTTTAAAACAATGTAAACCGAGACAATGACAGAAATTATCAGTAAAAAAATAAATATAGTTGAAAACAATATGCTCAACTAGCATTGTTCTTCGAACTATGTAACCCAACTATAAGAAGAACCATAGCTAATAATTAATATACTCTATCATCATTTTAAGCACTACAATAGTACTAATGCAACTAAAATTTCTGTTAAACAAAGTCTGACCAACCAATTTTTTTCTACCTCCCCAATCGTGCAAACTACGCAATCCCTTCAGGGGGCACCAAAACATTCCTACGGTTCACTGATAAAAACCTTCTTATGTTTCTCCAAAACACCACATAAAAAGCTAAAAGCTGAAATCAATAACACCCCAAAAGCTTTTTTTCTGATAGAGGTGAGATTCAAAAATCAAATTAAATGAGATTGACGTTAGTGAAATTATTCCAAAACCAGCCCTAGATCTACAACAAAAAAATCACAAGCTTCGTCCTTCAGAATGATCAACACCAAATGCCACGAAGAATAAACCAAGAATTTAATAATAATAAACCTAACAGCTACAACACAACAAAAAGTTGATTTTCCTTGAGCTAATCGGAGAAAACATACAAAATTTTACCAGGATAAACTAGAGATTCAATCGGCGGTAATCTGAGATGAAAAATGCGAGATTGAGAGAAGGAACGGATTAGAGGAAAAAAAGAGAAGGCGAGGTGGGGTAGGAGGGTGACAGGGCTTTTGTCGTTTTAGGGTTTCCAAGATACCTTTTCATAGGGTTTTCGAAAGGTTTCTCACACTTAACGGGAGGGAAGGATGAGTTATATAAAGCTCCATGGAAGAAGTGATCGAAGGTCGGCAATCCAGACAGCTGCAGGTCTCGTAGCCAACACACTTGGCGGTCGTTTCCGGTTGTGGCTTTTCTGCACGGCTTCAAAGGAAAACCTGTTCTTTGAATCGGTCCTGTAGCCCAAATTAATCCTTATTCGATTGAAAGTCGGGAGAATGCCGTCATCTCATCTGCAAAAACGGGAGGCTATAGCGACAAATTTTTTGTTTATTCCAGATGGCTAATGAGCTAATTTTGTGAGAAGGGAAATTAGACTTGTTTTTTTTTTTTTTTTTTTCCTAGTTCCAATTATTGTTAGATTTCATGAAAATTTATGTAAATATACCTACATTTAAAATGATAATATTTACATATGATATAGAAATATTAGGTATTAGATATGTTGGTACATAATAATTAGGTGGTAAATGCTCCAAGATTTTAATTTAGTGAAAGACCCTCTGACTTTTTTTAAACCAAAACACCTATTCTATAAAGCTGCATATTCAAATCATAATTCCTTGGCAATTGATTCCAATTTAAACTTATGATACACATTTTTGGAAATTAAAATTTGAACACTAAATGATATGAACAATGGACATATCATTATCAAAAATATATGACACAAGAAAACTATGACAAAAAACATAAGGCATGACTACTTCAATTCCTTGCAACAAATGTATTACTATTAAATAAATATTTTAAATTTAATTGAAGAAAAAATAGTCACATAGTAATATTGACTATAAATTTTGTTGGGCGCTATAAAATTTGTGGTTGTAAAATGACAGATGAATGTCTTAATGTTGCAAGGAAATCTAACATAACTAACGATATAATTTTTATATGAAAAGTTTGAAAAATTACAAATCATGAGGCATGCTTAGCCCAGTGATCTAACATATATAGAGATAAAAGTGATAACTAACGATGTAATTTTTATGTGAAAAGTTCGAAAAATTACAAATCATGAGGCATGCTTAGCCCAGTAAAAGTATTCATTATGCATTTGAAATGCTATAGAGTTTCAACATTCTCTCTAATTAGAGAAGATGTGATTGCAAATATATAACCACTTGTTTTTTCCTTCCATTGTTACAATAAATATTGTTAACCATTAAATCGATCATATTATAATAATTAGAAAATAGTTATTGCAATATAGTTGGTCTATAATAGTCACAAGCTAAGGTCAAAGCTGTTAAAACAGCGCATTGTTCTCCAACAGCTCTTTTTGGGCTCGTTAAGAACCTTCTGTTTAATTCATTCGTTAAGCAAACGAATCAAATGTGAATACTTCTTTTGCTCTCATTATCTAAACAAGTAAACAAAAACAAAGTATTGTCTGTTTGTGTTCGGAATTATATATATATATATATATAGGGATCCCCGTATGGAATTTAATTAATATCATAGTAAAGTTAAGAAAATGTAGGAATTTAGATCCTCTAGAACCATGAAACCCCAAAATCAAACTACAACTCCACACAAAAAAACAAATCTATGGATCCGATTAACTGAGATTACACCACACGCAATATAATCTCTAAAATGTAAATGTAAACCAACATAACTCAAATAAGTCAAAATTGAGCATATTTACATGTAATGTATAGAATGTAACAAATCGCCATGAAGAAGCTAAGGACAGGAGGAGGGGAGATAGTCGACATGGCGTCATTGGCCTGAAAACCATAATTAGCCGACAGTTAGAAGGGAATTGCCTTCTCTTTGAATAAAGCTCCATAATTTCTGCAAGCCAATAGTGAGGGCAAGGATATGCCTCAAGAGAACAATTAAATTCCATGGAGAAGGCTTCACCAAATTCAAATAGTCAATCATATCTTGGTTATCGGCATCCGCATGTATACCTTTCAACTTCATCATTAAAGCAATCTTAATATGTTCATATTGTTGGCATCAATTTTTGATTTCACGAGGGTAGGGTGTCCACTTGCATGACTCAGCATGGTTTACAGCTCGTCCGTAACATCCGTTAGTTTTGAAACCCACCCAGGACCGACTAGCGCTAGTTTGGGGCAAGTAGCTAGGTTTGGTGGCAATTCAGCCATGCCTGGAAATTTTCTTTTTGAGAGGCACATCCAGGAATTCTGACGGTCTTAGAAAGTCACAGAGTCCACCTACATGCGCTTCGAGAAAATTAGGGTTCGGGACACCCTACCCGCATCCCGACTCAGGATGGTCATTGTTACCAATTTCTTCAATGAATGTCTGACCTAAATGCTTCATTTTGAAGTTATGGGACCACATTTCACTCGCATGGAGCCTCTCATAACTTTTGTATCTAAAAGATGCTTCATCGGGCATTCCAGGTGAGAATTGGAGTTTCAGGCTAGACCAGCTCCTCGAGGCCATCCTTGGAGGCCCGCACATTCAAAACACCTTTCTAAATGATCTAGTACAAGCCCTTATAGTTCTAAGACTTGATTTTGGCACTTAGATGGGTGCCTAGGCACCAAAACGGACCATTTTTGGCCAGTTTTTCTCGAGAACCTGACGCCCAGGCACCCAAAACTGCCCCCTCGGCTTTAAAATAAAGAGAATAGGGTGCCTAGGCTCCACTTTTCGGCACCTCAACGCCGATCACTGGCCAGTTCGTGAAAATTGACCATTTTGGCGCTGTTTCGAGGCTCTAGGCCACTGTTTTTGCAGTTTTCTCACCATGGACTTTAGGAGTCATGCACAAGGACCTTTTTGCCCATTGTTTAGAAGTTTCCTAGGATTATACTAGGGGCATATGGGTATTGTGGGAGGAGAAAAATGCCAATTTCTAACAATCAAGAGAGTTCCTATTCCAATCAGGCAGTGGATGGCAAAATTCACAAGCTTTTCTACCATGAGCATTCCTTTTAATTATCTTGGCACCCAATTAGTCAGAGGTAGAATCAAACAGACACAGTTTGATGAGGTTATAGACAAAATCAATTCCATCCTTCAGGGGTGGGCTAACTCTTTCTTATCCAATGGGGGTAGGATCACCCTTCTAAAGAGCATCCTCACATCTATCCCCCTCTGTACCCTCCAAGTGGCTAAAATGAAAAGAAGCACTACTTTGATGCTGGAGAGAACTTTTAACAGATTTCCTTGGGCTGGGAACAGGAAACAAATGATTTGGGCTAGCTGGCAAAGAGTGACTAAACCTTATGAAGCTGGAGGTTTGGGTTTTAAAGGTCTACATCATATGCAGCAAACTAGCATGTGTAAACTTTAGCTCAGATTTAGACAAAATGAAAGCCTGTGGGCTAACTTCATGATGGCTAAATATTATAAAAATGTTCGCCCTGGAGAGGTTACCAAGAAGGTTGGAGACTCCAAGATTTGGACACATATGCTCAAGGGGAAAGAGGAGATTGACAAATATCTTATCTCCGAGCTGGGAAAGGGAGAGATCAACTTGAGCTGGGAAAGGGAGAGATCAACTTCTGGAAGGATAACTGGTGCCCTGCTGATCAATTGGAGCCCCTACAGAATGGAAAAGATGAAGAATTACTGGTTAAAGACTGTTGGAATGACAATGAGTGGTCTGAGGATGCTTTGAACAAAGTCCTGAAAGATTCTACCGCTAGAAGTATCTCTAAAATCCAGTTTGATAGAAATAGAAAAGACCAAATTCAGCTAATTAAAAGAACCAGATCCAGCATTTCAAAGGATATATATAACAACTTATTCAAATGGGAAGATTGCAAGTGGAATATTAGCAAGTGCCAAAAATTCTTAACTGCCTCCATGCTGTTCTTTTCTTGGAGAATCCTAAATGATTTAATCCCAACAGATGACATATTGAAGCTGAAAGGATTAAAAGGCCCTTCAAGATGTCACTTATGCAATAATAACCAAGAATTCAGTGATCACCTCTTTTTCAGATGCAATTTTGCTAGGGAGGTTTGGAATCAGCTGATATCTAACAGTAATCTGAACCTGTTGAATGTGGGCTGGGGAAATTTGAAAGACAGCTTAAGAGACTGGCAGGAAATCAACCTGATGCCTCTCCCCTTCATTGTTGCTTGGTTTATTTGGAATGCTAGGAACAAGGTGAAGCATGAGGA